AATAAATAAAACCAACCAATTTAAGTATTTCAATATTAAATATTTCGCCTCTTCTATGCCCATTTAGTATATAGCTTAAATTTAAATTGTAGCTAAACGTAATGCCGCACTCAAATAGAGCGAAGGTAAATAATTTGTTGTATTTGGCGCAGCGATAATCTACAGAATTGGCCATTGAATCGTGGCCAACGTAGACAGGTTGCTCCACATTTTTACTGTTGTTGTTGTGTTGCCTGCCACATTTGCCACCTGCCACCTGCCACCCACTTGGCCAGCCACACTGAGGCCTCTTCAAGCGCCCACTCGCTGGCAGCTCGACAACTGTGCAGGTCAACATCATCCATTATGCACCAAGCGAAAGAGAGAGAGAGAGAGAGAGAGAGAGAGAGAGAGAGAGAGAGGGAGATGGAGCAGGGAGCGAGGCCAAAGTGGAGTCACATAAATAAGACTAAGCCTAAACTTCTTTTCCTGCTAAAAGCATCTTAAGTGATTTAGAGCAGCCAAATGACCCAACAGAGCGTGAGAGAAAGAGAAGGCTGAGAGAGAGAGAGAGAGAGGGGAGGTAGGCAGGCAGAGGCAGAGGTAGCTGTGTGTAGGCAAAACTTGTTTCACAGCCTCCTCCATTTGGCCATCCATTTGCCTGCTCAGGATTTGGGTCATCCAAATGTGGGGCCGCTGTCGCTACCTCTGCCTCGGCTGCTGCTGCTGTTGACCGGCTGTTCACTCTATGGCTATTAGCATGCGAAGCTCGAGCTGTAACCGAAGCCAACTGCCAGCCAAGCAGCCATCAACTGCTCAACAACAACAACAATAACAACAATAACAACAGCAACGTCGCATTCACATAATCATACTGCATATAGTTGATTTTTCCTCGACTATTTTTTTTGGGTTTATTGTGCGCATGAATGGGCTCCAGCCCCAACATTTCCGGGCCCTCGCCCCACATCAGCCACCGTCGGCTCGCTGCCCGCTGCCCGCTGCCCCACTCTGCGATCCGCCGGCATAATTTGGCCCGCAGTTGTTGCTGACCTCGTTTGAGGTCGTTCATTCACCTGTCGCTGCTGTCGTCGTGCTGCACTTTATGCACTCCACATTTGCAAGCACATCGTGTATGTGTGTGTGTGTGTGAGTTTGCATGGGCGTGTATGTGTGTCTGTTTACCCAGTTACGAAATTGTCCAAAATGCTGCGGCTTGGGTGAAAGTTTGTTATATTTTATTATTGTTGTTGGTGTTGCTTTTGTTGCTGTTGCTGCTGCTGCTGCTCTTCTCTATGCATGTTGCTGCGCACAGCTCACACAGTTGGGGCCCCTAACTGAAATCTAGTTCATTTCTAGATATCAAAAGGTAGTTCAAGACTTTTGAGCTTTGTATTGATAGCT